AAAATTTATTTTTTTTTTAGTTTTTTATGTTATCTATTATTCTGGTGTACCTATCACAGATACAGAGATAATAAAAGGTTTATATTATACTTTTAATTCTTTCCGGTCTGGGTTATTTTGATAATTTTTGACTCACCTGTGCGCCCATATAAATCTTGCAATCCTTTGTCTCCAGAAAACTTCTGAAGAGAATTATGTAGTTACACACATTGGTTACACCAGATTTTTTTCGCTTTTCCTCATGGGGGGGGGGGGGGGGAATAATTTTTAAGATAAGAATTTAGGCGAATATTTTTTATATTTTGCTTTTGACTATTCCATTTTATAGAAATTTATGATTTGAAAAAGAAAAATGCTGAAATTGAGAAGAAAAATGCTGAAATGGAGAAGAAACTGGATCTAGCATTGAATTTCAATCTTCAGGTATTATGGAATAAGTTTGTTACTCATTCCAAAGAATTTGTTGAAAAAATCTTCACATTTTTACAAAATATGTGGCGGGTTTTTACGTAATGTGTTAAATAATATAAGGCTTTTTAAAATTTTGGCCATTTTTAAACAAAATTTTCTGTTTAAGAGTTTTTGTAGCTTTTTTGCTTCATTAATTCGATTGTCCATAAATAAAAGGACCAGATCAAAATAAATTAATTTTTGGACTAAAATTTATTAAAAAAACTCGATTCTTTTCGAATTTCCATTTTTTCCCTTTTTTATAAAACAAAAGGGTTGGATCTGACCTAAATTTTTCTTTAAGAATTTTAGGAAAAATTTCTTAATACTAAACAGAACGCAAATGGCTCAAACCATATGTCATTCGAAAGAGCTCGTCGAGTTGAGTCGAATGGCGAAAAAAAATTTCGTGTGGACTTATACAGGGGCTGAGATATAGTCCCCCTAAAACCGAAAAACCATAGGGGGGGAGTAAGCTAAATTTTGGGGTTAAAAATTCGAATATGCAAATAATAGCTCATTCGAAAGAGCTCCTCGAGCTGAGTCGAATGACACCAAAATCAGCTTGATCGTAAAAGTTTTGACAAAGTTACAATATAAAAACAAACAACATAAACCTATGGAGAGTCGGCGAGGCGGTTGTGCAAAACCCAGCGCTTCGCGCTGGGTTTTGCGGCACGCGCCTCGCGGGGAGTCTACGGGCGCTGGGTCTGGGCTCGTAACATAAACCTATTCCTATCTCCCTTGCTCTGGACGCATTTGGGGCCTCCGTAGCAGCAAAAATCTCCACAGATGCCATAGGTAAGGAGCTAAAATAAAAGATCATAACTTTGTCCAATCAAGTCGAATTTCGTTGATTTTGGTGTCATTCGACTCAGCTCGAGGAGCTCTTTCGAATGAGCTATTATTTGCATATTCGAATTTTTCACCCCAAAATTTAGCTTACTCCCCCCTATGGTTTTTCGATATTTGGGGGATATCTCAGCCCCTGTATGAGTCCGCACGAAATTTTTTTCGCCATTCGACTCAACTCGACGAGCTCTTTCGAATGACATATGGTTTGACCCATTTGCTTTCTGTTTAGTATTCCGAAATTTACCGATTTTTATTACAAATAATAAATTTAACAACAAATTTTGTGTTTTTCTTTTTTAATTTTGTATTTTCGATTAAAACTTTTTTATAATTTTCATATCTTTCGGATTATGCAAAACAAATTTTTAGTATCTGATTGCTTTTGTATCAATCGTGGCTCTAGTTCTGACATTTGTGACGGTCGTTTTGGCACTTATTTTTAAGTAGTGATTTGAAATTATTGTAACAAAAAGGGTCTATTTTCCGTATCAAAAAATATTCAAAAAACAGCCAATTTTCTTTCAAAAAAATTTCTTTTTCGATTGGAGTCTAATTTAAGTCTTTTAAATAGACCTAACTAATTTATTAACTTATTCGTATGCTCAAAAAATTACTTTTACTAATTTATATTCACTTAAGTCTTTCCACTAAAAATGTAAATTTAAATTTTTAATCCTATACATAATCTCTTTTTGGGTTGGAAAATTTGTTAACCAAAAATTTTTGCCTTTTTCAACAATTATTTGTTTACACTCTGTTTCAAAATTATAGAGCCACTAAATTTTTTGTAATAACTCGATGAAAATCGATTGAATTTTTTTGAAATTTTGTCATAATGTTTAAATAAACAATACATATCTATCTACAAAAAATAAATCACATCCAGTGTCTACAAAAAATTTTATTCCAAAAAATTCAATCTATATGTGTTTCATAATTATAGAGCCACTTTGAAATATCGAGTTTCTAACAATAAGAAAAATCTACAAAAATTTGAGCTAACATAACTATCGATTTTAAGAAAAAATAAAAAAGAATCAGACCCATATCTCTCTTCAGTGTCGAGATCCAATGCCTCGAAAATCAACGTAAATCGGGGGTAAGGCTATTTAAAAAATATTTTCGACCCCTTATGGTTTGTTTTAAATTTTTAACTTGGGCTCATTCGAAGGCCCGTAAATTTTGTTACAAGATAGTAATACTCATATATCTCAGAAAAAATTCAAAAGGGATATACAGGACGTTAATCTTCCTGGGATAACTTTATGGGGTATTTGGGCGTTTTTGTGCCTCAGAAATTTAAAACTTAATAACTTACTGAAATAATTTTTCTAGTAAATAAGACGTACATATGCTATCTTGTAGCAAATTTTACGGGCCTTCGAATGAGCCCAAATTAAAAATTTAAAACAAACCATAAGGGGTCGAAAATATTTTTTAAATAGCCTTACCCCCGATTTACGTTGATTTTCGAGGCATTGGATCTCGACACTGAAGAGAGATATGGGTCTGATTCTTTTTATTTTTTCTTAAAATCGATAGTTATGTTAGCTCAAATTTTTGTAGATTTTTCTTATTGTTAGAAACTCGATATTTCAAAGTGGCTCTATAATTATGAAACACATAGATTGAATTTTTTGGAATAAAATTTTTTGTAGACACTGGATGTGATTTATTTTTTGCAGATAGATATGTATTGTTTATTTAAACATTATGGCAAAATTTCAAAAAAATTCAATCGATTTTCATCTAGTTATTACAAAAAATTTAGTGGCTTATAATTTTGAAACAGAGTGTATTAGTAACATTTAAAACGATATTTTCAGATTAACGATTTACAAAAATTCTCTTCCTGAAAATAAAATTTAAATTTCTCACAAAAATTTAAAACGAACAAATTGGGGCTTCTTGCTTGTGTATTTTCGATTTTCCAACCCAATATTTAAATAAAAGCCTTAACAACTGCCTTTAATTTAATTTTGTATAACTCAATTTTTTAAATAAAAATAATCACTCTTATTTTTATATTTAATTCCAAAGAATGGTAACTTTAGGGTTAATCAAGTGTTATGAAGTGTGAAAAAAACTAAAAAAAATTTTTAGCTACTTTTCGACAATTTTTAATTTTTAAATGAGATATTTTTTCCTTTTTTCAATCTAAAAAATATTCTGTACAAATGAATGGAAGCTTAAAAAGATTGTCGACCATTAATTTTTGTCATCAAAAATTTCAGTTTTTACAATTGCATTTATTGCATCAATTTTTCGTTATTTAATTGAAAGTAGGGGTCAACCCTGAAGACCTACACCCCGAAGACCTATTTACCCTGAAGACATACAACTTTTTGATCAACTCGAATTTTTTATCTGTTATTTCTTTACATTTTAATCGATGAGGGGTTAAAGGGGAAAAAGAGACTTGTAGGGATTAATGGGATATCGTGTGGATCTAGAGGGATTAAATGGGATTAGGAGGGATTAAAGGATGATATCGGTGGATGCGGATGGAAAAAAGGGGAATATATGCAGATGGATCTGTGGGATATAGATGGATTTTGAGGTTTTAAAGGGGCAGGGTGTAGGTCTTCAAGGCTCCTGAAATCGAAAAACAATAGAGGAGACCAAGCTGTTTTTTGGGGTAAAAAATTCGAATATGCAAATTATTTGAGTCGACTGACCCAAAAACATCTTGATTGGATGCTTATGAACGACGTTATGACCTATAGGTTAATGATCCTTGCTTTTATTTGGAGTTTTGCGAATAAACAGGCGTATTGCGAATAAATGGGCAGGTCGTTTTGCGAATAAATAACACTTTACCGTGCAATTGCCCTCTTTGCAATTGGATTAGAGATCGGAACGGGTCCGGGACCTGTTTCCCGGTTTTCGGGTCCTTTTTCCCGGTTTTTTGGGAGCAACCGGGTTGAAACCGGGAACGGGAATTCCCGGTTTTCCCTGTCCGGGTCCCTCCCGGTCAACTTTCAGAACCCATTTCCCGGACCCGGTCCCGGCCATTTTTATACCGGGAAACCGGGAAAAATATTTAGTGTATAAATCTGAAAAATTCTCAAAATTTTCGCCTGCGGCGCTGGAAAAGTAAGAAATCTGGCCCCTTCAAAATTCGCAAAATTTTCGCCTGCGGCAGGAGAATTCTGGCTTCTTTGACTACGGTTACGAGTTACCTTTTCACCGATATCCTTTAATAGTCTAAAATCCTCTTATATTCCTCGATAACCTCCTCCATTTTCACTTAATCCCGTAATATCCCTAAATCCTATAATATCCCTTTAAATACCAGTATATCCCACTTAATCCCACTTAATCTGCTGATATCTGTCCAAATAAAAAATCAAGAATCAAAGCCTGGATCCAGGCAAAAATAATCCTTAACTGAAGATCAAGAAAAATCCTTGACTCAAGGTCAAGAATCTGGTCAAGGTACCCAACCGAAATCAAGGTCAAGGTTTTTTGAAAATCTCGCTCTCTACTGACTTTAATAAAGGTTATTTAGAATAAGTAAAGGGGGATAGTTGAAAAATACAGCAACATGTGGAAAAATACAGCCCCATTTCAACAAATTAAGAATTTCCCGGTTTCCCGGCCGGGACCCGGTCATTTTTGACCGGGTTGAAACCGGGAACGGGAATTTCCGGTTTTCCCGGTCCGGGTCCCTCCCGGTCAACCTTCAGAACCCGTTTCCCGGTTCCCGGACCCGGTTTTTTCAAAATTCCGATCTCTAAATTGGATCACTGTGCCCGTGTCGTGCCACCATTAATTTTAATTAAAGTTAAATTAATTTTATTATTAGTAGTTTTTGACTTTCAATTATTTTGCCTATCTTTTAATTATTTATATTGGAACCCAAATATGGTTTATGACGAAGGCGATCAGTTGCGTTCTGATCAAGAAGAACGACGTAGGGAAAAATTTAGCCGTGAGCGTGGTGGTGATTATTTAATGGATAGAGGAAGGCGTAATTTTGGTGGACCTGATCGGTTTGATTTAATTTCTTTTTTTTATATTTTATTATTTAAAGGCGTGATTACTCGAATGGATTGGGAGGTGTCAAGAAGCGTTCTTTTCGTGACGAAGACACTTATCAGCCCGCTAAACGGAGCAGATTGTATAAATTTTATTTAATTTTTTATAATTTATTACAAATTTAAGCGACAGTGCTGTCGATTCTTATGAACCACAATTTAATCGTCGAAGTGACGGAAACTTTCCACCCGTTCAAATGGATGCAGCCTCTGCTCAACCTCCGATGCTTTTGACGTTTCGCAAATTTTTAGATACTCAAGATGATGCTATATTAACAGATGAAGAGGCAATTGCAAAATATAATGAATATAAAACTGAATTTATGCGTCAAGAATGTGAACGTTATTTTCATGCGCATAAGGATGTTGAATGGTTTATTTTTCTTTTTTATTAAGTTTAAGTATTTTAAAGGTTTCGTCGAAAATATCATCCAGTGGAGAGTAAAGAACGGCGTACGGAGCGACGTCAGCATATTCTCAAACGACTTCAGATTTTTAATGAGCTTCTTGATGCCAACAAGATTGATGCTTTGACACTTAGTTACGAACATGCGGAGCAACTTATCCGATTCATGGATATGGGTTTAGTTTATTTTTTAACTTATTTTTGTTAGAGTTATTGTTAGAATATTTTTAAAATTTACAGTCATCGACATAAAGATAGGGGCAAGAGTAACTAAAATAAAAATTAACCATTTTTTCAGTTAAAAATTCATTTTAGGAAAAATTTTTTATTTGACTAAATACTACATTTAATTCTCTATTTAATGAGTATAAATCTTGCCGGATTAATATTTTTACTATCGAACCCAAGCTGAAATAAAAAAGCAGTGCTAATTTTTGCGCGACAAAAAGATAGGGGCAAGTCTCATAACTAAGTATTCACCCGGACAAAAAATCTTTAAAAATTTATACAATCATATTGACCGATTATAAGAGGAAATAAAAAAGCACTAGGCCCTATCTCGTTTCGGTGTCGAGATTTCGATGCCCTGAAAATCAACGTAAAACAGGGTTTTTCAACTTTAAAAATTTTTTCGACATCTTGTGGATTGTTATAAATTTTTGTTTAAGGCTCATTTGATAGCCCTTGAAATTTGCTACAAGCTGGCCAAATTTCATTTCTCAGAAAAATTTCCCTCCCAAGATAAAGAACGTTGGTTATCAGAAACGGCATTTAAGAGGGAATTTATGGGGTGTTTGTTGCTTTTTGTAACATTAGCCTCTACAACTAACGAAATATTTTTTTCTGGAAAATGAAATTTGGCTAGTTTATAGCAAATTTCAAGAGCTATCTAATAGGCTCAAAATAAAAATTTAAAACAATACATAAGGGGTCGAAAATATTTTTTGAAGTTTCTTACCCCTGTTTTACGTTGATTTTAGGGGTATCGAGATCTTGATATTGAAATGAGTTATGGGCCTAGTACCATAAAATTTTCTCTTATCATCGATAAATATCTTCACTCGATTTTTTGTAGATTTTTTGTTTGGGTGAAAACTTAGTTATGAGACTTGCCTATCTTTTTGACGCGCAAAAATTAGCAGTACTTTTCTTTTGCAATTTGGGCTCGGCATTATGAAATATTAATCCATTAAAATTTATACTCATTAAATAGAGAATTAAATGGAGTATCTAATCAAATAAATTATTTTATCTTAAAATGAATTTTTTATTGAGAAAATGGTTAAGTTTTACTTCAGTCACCCTTGCCCCTATCTTTATGTCGATGACTGTATTATTGAATTTATTCTGATGATTTTCCTATAAGTTAAGTTGTTATCAAATTGGAGGACGGCACTGATGCTGACATTGAAGCTGCTGCTGCTGAACCTATTAGCGATGAGTCTGTTTTGGATTTGCTTTCTTCTAAACATGTTACACAACAAAAACAAACTCAAACGGATGATAATTTGGCAGATACTATTGTTAGTGATGAAGGTTCTTCGCCAACTAAACGTTTGGTCAGAGATGTTATGGATACAGGTTTAGATAATAGACCAGAGAGATATCCAGGGATTTCATTCTTCCAAATTCTTGGCCTTCATATATTCTCACAATTTTCGGTTTCAACTATAAAAATATAGTGCTAAAGAACTTACGTGCATAACGGTGAAAGTTTAGCACGCAACCCATTATATCCCTTTTCCCATTCCCTATTTACACCCGTTTTAATGATAATAAAAATATTCTTAAATTTTATTCTTAAATTTTTTTAGTGTTAGATACCTATGAGGATGCAAATAAAGGCGAAGAAGCGGACGAGGGCGAAGAAGGCGAAAAACCTATGGAGCTTAATCCATTAATTCAACCAACCAAACAAGCACCGTTACCTCATAAGACGTGTAGTATTCATTTCCGTACTGTTCCTGCTACTGTACCATTGGCAGAGATCGAAAATGTATATTATAATTTTCTTTGAGATTTTTATCTGAAAAGATTTAGCTAATATAAAAAATTGATTTCTTGCATTTTCAAACACATTTTTTATTTTCAGCTTTGTAAGCAACATCCTGGATTTTTGCGTTTATCACTTTCTGATCCAATGCCTGTTGTTATTGATAGAAGAAGTGGAAAATCGCAACCAATTCGAACCGCTTTAGTTACCTACCGAGAAGATGTGAACATTAAGGAAATTTTTTGGGCATTGCGTAATACCAAAGTAAATGGTTGTATATTGTCTGACTTGTACATATATGTATTTTAGTTTAATGGTGTCTCATTAAATGCTTCTGTTAATCGTGAGTTTCGTCGTCGGGTTCGAAGCATTGGTGCCACGAGTGGATTATCTTCTCAACGTAATATTGTCCAAAATGATATTCGGTATTTGTTTAACTTTTGTTAAGAATTACGTTTTATTTAAATTTACCTATCTTTTTTTCACTTTTAAATTTATTATTTTTAATGATTTTTAGCCAAGCGGCCAAACTCATTGTGCTTTACGATCTTAAGGAATGCCTTTACCGAGAAGAAAATGAGTCTTGTGAAGAAGGGGAAGAACAATTACAAAATGAATCACAATCCGCTGATGAAGGTTTTTTTACGTTGTTACATTTTTACAATTAGCATATGTTTTTAGCACTTCTTTCTGATCTTGAAGGAGCTGTTTTGAAAAGTAGGAATCCTCTCTTGAGTGGAATTTCCGATTATCTCGTTGATGTAACTAGTGCTGAAGAGGATGCACTTGTTGAGAATGTTGCTCAAGTTCATGGTACTGAATTGATGGAGGAAATGGAAAAGGATAATAAAATGATTAAGGTATTATTTATTTGTTTTTTTAATCTTATGGAAGGGATTTTTAACCAGAAATTCAGTTTGATCATTTTTAGGTGCTCGATCGTTTACTTCTTTATTTGCGAATTGTGCATTCAATTGATTTTTATGCTACTATCGAGTATTCAAATGAAGATGAAATGCCACACCGGTTATTTTATTTTTAAAATATTTGAATGAATATTTAAGTCTTGCTTTAATTCATGTTCGTGGACGTCCTCTGGACAATATTACAACGACAACTACCACTACTCGAGTTCCTCAATTGCCAAAAACGGTTATTAGTGGACATATTGCTACCTTTAATGCTCTCCTTGATCAAGGACTTTTTAAGAGAGCTTTATTACCTGAGGAAGAATTGCAAAAGCTTGGAAAGAAAGATGCTGAAAAGTAACAAACAACTAATTTAATATAATTTTTAATTATAAATTTTTAAGAGCGGTTCAGGATTTTCTTGACAAGAACACTGTTGAACAAGCTCCAGGCAAGTATCTCTGCCCTCTTTCTGGAAAGCGTTTCAGAGCTGTTGAATTTGTTCATAAACATTTGCATTCTAAACATCAAGAAGAAATTGATGCTGCTAGACATGAAGTAGAGAATATTTTTTTTGAATTTTTCAATTTAAAAATTTTAAGGCTCTCTATTTTAATAATTATTTATGCGATCCAAATCGTCCACATAATCAAATTTTCGTCAAAATTACTAATACTGCATCTGCAGTTGAGCGTGAAATTCGTCGTTCTTCTGCCTCACCGCCGCCAAATCGAAACACTCAAAATTCAACATTGGAAGAGGGGGCAGGTGGAGGGAGAGATTCGGAAAGGCCTGGTAATCCTTTTAAACTTGACTTAAATAAAACAAACTTTTAAAGTGCCTCGTAGTACATGGCAACCATTGGACCGTTTTAATAGTAGTGGTGGAGGGAATAATAGGTAAAGTTATTTTAAAATTATATTTTTACTTTTTTTCAATAAAAAGATATAATGGAGGAGGACAGGGTCAACGTTCTTTTGGTGGTGGGATTAATTCAGGAGGTTCAACACGTCAACGCTTTTCTTATGAACCAGTTAACGAAGTGAGTGGTGCTGGAAGCGGTGGGTTTGGGGGTGGACGTTCTAGAGTTGACCCGAGGGCTCCGCCTTCTTATAGGGATTTGGATGCTCCAACTGAGGATATTATTTGAAAATAAATAATTTTTGGTCGTTTTATTTTTGTTTTGATTTTATTTTGGTTGCTTATTTTTGTGTGTTTATTTTTATTTTATTTCGCTATTTTTTTTGGAATAATTTTTATTGAATTAGAGAGGAATAAATTATTTTAAAAAATATAAAATTTACATTTATAAGGATAAACACAAAAATACTGGAGCTTTTTTATGAGTAAAATTATTGCGTGCGAAATCTTATATTTTGTTATTCAATTTTAATTGCTTTTCATTTTTTGTTAACTCTAACAATAAGTCAATATTTTAAAAACTTAATTAAGTGCTCGATAATAATTTAATTATTGACTTTTGTTAGTTAAATGGAGTTTTTTTCCTTTTGACCAATATATAAGTTGTTTCAATCCAATAAAAATGAATAAAACTTTAGAAGTTGGCTGTTAAATATATACTATGTTGTTCATTCTTCACGTGATTATTTTTAAATTATATTTGTTAAACACATTTTTGTAATGAATACATTACATAATGTATATTTAAAAATACTACTATGTATAGCAAAAAAGAGAGAACATAAATAAACAACAACAGTTGTTAATTTTTGTAAAAGAGGAAATGGGAAAAATAATTTTTTTTTCATTTCGCTATAGCGACCATTAATTATTAAATAAGAAACAAAATAATCCTTTCATTTCTTTATAAAAATATATTAAATAAACCGCCACGCATGTATTAAATCAAAAAAAAATTTATTTTTAGTTAAAATATTTCACGTATTTTTTAAAATTCTCTAAATTTGTTTGTTCTTTTTAATTATTTCCCTTTGACCGTATTTCTAATTCATTTTTGTTATTTTATTTTCTAAAATTCCTCCATTAATTTTATAAAAATTTCTTTTTTAAAGTAAATTAGTTTAAATTAATTTACAAATTTTTTGAAAATTGTCAAATATTTCAGAATTTATTTTTTTTTGTTTTATTAAAGGGAATCAATAAAATTTAGAAGATAAAGAACAAATTAATATTAAAAACAAAGTAATAAATTGTTTAACAGATAATTTTTTGATTGTTTTTTGGGGGGAGTTCTCTTTAAATTTAATTACTTTTCTTAATTGATTTTATTTAATTTTAAAATTAATTTAGATAGTTTGCAGTTGACTTTTAGTTTTTTATTTAATTATTTTTAATTTTGGAGAATGGCTTCACGTGACTATGTTGGAGAGGATGTTTGCAGTTTGGTAATGTAAAAATTAGTAAAATTGAAATTTTTGAGTTCTAGATTGGGAATACTCCTATGGTTTATCTCAACAGATTGCCAAATCCTAATGGTGCACGTGTAGGTGAGAAAATTTAATTTTTAAACCTTGAATTAGTGGTGGAAATTTAAAAAATTATTTTCGCTTCTTTTTAAGCTGTCAAAATTGAATGGATGAATCCCGCTTGTAGCGTTAAAGACCGAATTGCTCATGCAATGGTAATTACTGCTGAGCGTGAAGGGAAGATTAAGCCTGGGAAGACGACTTTAATTGAGCCAACTAGTGGAAATACTGGAATTGGTTTATTAAAAAAAGTTTTTTTTTTGAAATTTAAGTTTTAATTTATAGCACTTGCGATGGTAGCTGCTGCTCGTGGTTATCGTCTTATTTGTGTAATGCCTTCGACTATGAGTGGAGAACGAGTCAGGAATTACATCAATTTTTTATTTTAATAATTTATTTTTAGCGTACTCTTATTCGGGCTTTTGGCGCGGAGATGGTTTTAACTGACCCTGTTCTTGGAATTAAAGGAACTATTGACAAGGCTAATGAACTTGCTAAAATTATTCCAAATTCGTTTATGCCTCTTCAAGTTTTTTTTGGAAATTAATTTTTAAAAAACTTTTATTTAGTTTGACAATCCTGTTAATCCACAAATTCATTATTCCACTACCGGAGCTGAGATCTATCGTCAAACTGGTGGTCGAATAGATGCTTGTGTTTTTGGTATTGGGACTGGTGGAACGGTTTGAAATTTGCCAAAAATATTTTTAATTTGTTTAGATGACTGGAGCTGGTCGTTATCTCCGAGAGAGGAAGCCTGATATTCAAGTTAGTTTTTCTCTTGATTTTTGGGTAAAAAAATATATTTCTTAGCTCTATGCTGTTGAGCCAACCGAAAGTGCTGTTTTGAGTGGAGGACAGCCTGGTCCACACAAAATTCAGGGTTTTCTTCAACAAAATATCTTTAATTAAGAAATTATTCAGGGATGGGTGCCGGCATAGTTCCTGCCGTTTTGGACACCAAACTTTATAATGGAGTTATTACCGTTTCTTCTGACGAGGCTATTGCTATGGCAAAACGTGCTGCACTTGAAGAGGGTCTTCTTTGTGGTACTCTTTTAGAACGATTAATTGAAGGTTAAGAAAATATTTTTAGGTATTTCTAGTGGGGCTAATTTGGTTGCGGCACTTCGTGTTGCTGAGAGGCCAGAACTGAAGGGAAGGCTTGTTGTTACTGTACTTCCAAGTTTTGGCGAGCGTTATTTGTGAGTTTAAAATTAAAGAATTTTAAAGAGAAAATTTAATATGGATTTTTCGGAGTGTTCAAAAACTAAAATTTACTGAAATTAAAACGAACTCTCAGACCAATTTTTGAATTTACATAAAAATATTTCTTAATATTTTTTATTAAAAAGTTTTTTTAAAACAGGACGACTACACTTTACTCTGACATTCGTGAGGCTACTGCTGCTTTGACTCATACTGAGACTTTAGAGGAGAGTGTTAATCGTATTAATGCCAATCCTCGCTGGGCTAACTCTCATTAAGTTTTGAGAAAAGTAAAGAAGATTAAATAAAAAGTATTGATATTTATATAAACGTTTACGTTATTTTTATTATTTTTGAGAAACATAGTAGTTTCTATAATTTTAAATTTTCATTTTCTAAATAATTTTACTTAATTTGTTGTTTTTGTTTAAATCAAAAGTTGTTAGCAAAAAAATAATAATTTTTTATTGAAAGTTCTTTAAGAGAAAAGATTATTTTTGTTGACAACTTCTAAAATACTTTTCTAGCATAAAAATAAATAAATTGAGATTTGGATTGTAGTTTATTTAAAATGGACATTGTTTAACTGTGAAAAGTCTAATTATATCGCCCTTCTTAAACCCGACTTGAAAAAATATTAGAAAACTTACTCCTTATTGAGTCCCTGTTCTTCTCAATTCAATCTTTAAATCTCGACTATAAAAGCCAACAGATTTTTGCTACCCACAACCACACCCAATTAACTCACGCTGCTTGCATTGGTCGCTGTCTCTAACCTGCTTGGCTCTTGGCACACTTGGCTTTGCTCGTCACGACGTTATCTTCCAAGGTAGTTTTTGTTGCTTTTTTATCTTGGTCGTTCATCTTCATCAATTACTTTTTTGCTTTTCAGTCATCTGTATACCTTCCTGCGCTTATCTCATTTCCGGAGCTCTCAACAGATTCTTCAGGAATGCCGCCGCAGCTCGTCGAGTTATCGCCAGGGATGAAAGTTGCGGAGAAATGGACAATCATCAAAAAGCTTGGTGCCGGTGCATTTGGAGCTGTCTACCACTGTAAATTCGGCTTGAGGGAAGGGGCTCTCAAAACTGAGCCAGTCGATGCGTCAATGCCGCTACTAGCAATGGAGGCCCATGTTCTTCAAGAACTGCACCGCATAAAGGACGACCGTCACTTCACTAAGTGCTTCGACATCGGCAGGGACAGTCAGACCATTGGACCTGCTGGAAAGGTGTCCTTCAACTATATCGTGTAAGAATTTTGGATTACATACTACGGGTAGAACGGGGTTTTTTAGGGAGCAGTAAATTAAGCAGTAACTTACCTTTTTCTTTTAGGATGTCGCTGGTTGGCCCAGGACTGGACAAACTCGTCAAAGCTCGGCCTGGTCGACGCTTCTCTCCTGGTACAGCGATCGGCGTCTCAATTCAGATGGTCAACGCGCTACGGGCTCTTCATGGCATTGGATATCTCCACCGGGATATCAAGCCGGCAAACACGACTACCGGAAGGAAGGAAGAGGGAGAACAGCAGATAATCTACGTGCTTGATTTTGGGATCGCGAGAAAGTTCATGCACTCAGATGGGTCGTTGATGCGTCCAAGGGAGTCTGCACGTTTCCGAGGGACTCCACGTTATGCGGCTACTTCAGCACACATCAAAAGAGAATACGCACGTAAGGATGACATGGAATCCTGGTAAGTCACTGATTGACGAGTTTCTTTCCTTCAAATTCTAACTTTTTCCCTACTAGGTTCTACATGATGGTCGAAATCTATGCTGGCAAACTTCCTTGGAGCGGTGTCGGCGACATGGATGCGGTACGAATTTTTCAGAAATTCTTAACCACTAATTAATTGATTTTGCAGATTGGTCAGTTCAAAGAAGCTCGACTCCCGAACAATCAACTGAAGGTGCGAACTGATGCTGTGCGTGCCCTCGTCGCTGGTTGCCCTGATGAATTCATCACTATCCTGAGGCATATAGATGAGATGCGTTTCTACGGTCGTCCAGACTACAACTGGATAATGAAGATGCTGCGCGCATATCTCACCGAGAACAGGATCCCTGAGCATCCATATGACTGGGAATGAGGGATGTGAAAGATAAAATTGAGATATTTCACCCTATTGATTTTCCTCATGATTGTATAAATATTTCGACATTCGTTTTCGCTATAATTGTATTTTACTGTATTGTATTGCCTACATTTGTATTGTATTTGTATGTATATATTCTAATAAATTATCGTGTTATAAAGAGGTTCTGATATTTTTCAAGTCGAATTAGGTTTAAGAAAAAAATCTCCTTTACAACCATGCTCGTAGCGTAACTTTGCTCCAAATACTATACTCGAGGCACCTCTTGATCATACCTGTACGAAACTCCAAATTTTTTTTCGAACGAAACGAAACGAAACAAAAATTTTTAAAAATCGTTTCGCTAACGAAACGAAACAGTCAAAATTTAACGAAACGAAACAAAACGAAACATTTTAATTTCCAAAAAAATTTCAAAAAACCTAATTATTTTATTAACTATTTAATTTTAAGCATGTTAATTAGCCATAATGGCCTATATGTTATCATATAATCTTGTGGGATCACCGAGATTCCCTTATGTCCGTCCATCCAGTCTAATTCACATAGAAAAATTAGTTTTTTCCTTCGGTTTCCGAAAATTTCAAAATTTTCGCCTGCGGCGGTGAAACAGGAAGAATCTTGGCTTAGGGATCTTCTAAAAATCTCAAAATTTTTGCTTGCGGTGGTGAAAAAGGAAGAAAAAATAAGTGAAAAAGAAATTTGGCTCATTGGTTTGGCTCAAATTTGGCCATGATTGGTATTTACTCATGATTGGCTTTAACAGATAATACATTCGGTTATCGAGAGTTGTAGATCTACGTGAATCATTTATCAGCGCCGAAGGCGAAAATTTTGAGAATTTTGGAGACCAAGGAGCCAGAATTCTTCCTTTTTCAGCGCCGCAGGCGAAATTTTTTTAAATTGACATCATCAAAGGGGAAATTTTACAGTTTTTGGGTAATATTTTGGCATAAAAAATAGGTAATGTTTCGTTAACGAAACACAGGTGTTTCGTTAACAAAACGAAACGAAACAAATTAAAAAGTGTTTCGTCACGAAACGAGACGAAACAGTAAAAAACATAACGAAACTAACGAAACAGCGAAACGAAACGAAACGTTTCGTACAGGTCTGCTCTTGATGCTAAGCATGATAACTAATCTTTATCTCCAAAAAGTTATTTCCTGACCAACAAAACCTTTATATGTTGATTGCTGTGAAATAACCCAAAATAATAAAAATATTTACTATCAAAAATTAAACAAAATAATTTAAACATAAAAAGAAATAGGAGCAAAAAATGAAAAAAATATTTAAAATAAATTGAAGAAAATATTTTATACAAGCATTTAATGTGACTGTTAAAATAAATTATTTTCTGTGAGAAATCCATGAGATTGTAATGAAATAAAGTGAAAATGCAAAAAATTTATCATAAAGGCACGTGTAGTATATTGCAGAAGTAGGTCGGAATTCCGAGTTCCGACTTTTGAGCCAGTTCTGGTTTCCGGCTCTTCGATTTCCGATACCTCTGACTTTCCGACCCACCTCTGGTATATTGAGAATGTTTAAAGGAATACAAAAACTAATTTCTTATTTCATACAAATAAGGTAGTAAAAAATGTTTAATTTTAGAGTGGCCATTTAAAAACACCAAAAGGAGGCAAAAATTGTCAAAAAAAATAATTTCACCTCCCAAATTTCAAGTATTATTTAACGAAAAATCTGAAACAACAAAGTCACTAAAATCCTACAAAATCCTTCTTTTTCTAAAAAAAGTAAAATAGCCACCATATTTAAGTCAAAAAAATAATTTAAAAAATATTTTTTAAACTAAAAAAATTTAAATTGGGGTATACCCCAAGTAAACATCCATAAATTTCTTTAAAGGTTCTTTATGAGAAACTAAAGGTACACTAAATGTTGTTGTTGATATTCCCTCATTATAATTATTCAGAATTGTATTGTTTGTCGCCGTAGGGAAAGAAGATGTTCGAATATTAGAGTAAATAGAGGAAGAAGAAGGATCTTCTACAGTTCTATCCTCTTCTAAATTATTAAAAGTAGAAATATAAAGAATTTTAGAAAAAAAAATTTTATATCTGTTCAGTTTTTTATTTTTTATTATTTTATCTGTTCAATTTCACTATACTAAATCTAAGGGTTGCGGGAATAATTTTGATAAGTTAATCAAAATTATGATTTCAAACAGTGTTATCTTGATTCCATCGGTTTTTTGAACCGATAAAAATTAAATTTTGAGTTAAGACGATGAATGGAGGAATTTTAGAAAATAATTTTTTAATTTAAATTAAAAAATACCATTAAATTGATTTTGTTGAATTGAAGGAAGAAGAGGAGGGGAAGAAGAAATTTGTTGTTGCTGTTGGTTTTGTAAAATATTTGAATTATTTAAAGATTGCTGACAAATATTATTAGAAGAGGGAGGATAATAAGGGGGTAAACATGGTGGAGATATATTTGGATTGTTGTTGTTATTTGAAATAATTATTGGAGCTCTTTTTTTGGCAGCAGAAGAGCCATCTTCATAATTATTTATTTCTTTATTATTTGAAGGTAAAAGAACAGAATTAACACCTCTTTGAATAACCTTTTTAAATAATTATTTTTTAAAAATAATTTAATATTTATTTTTTTTACCTGTAAAATAGAATTTGAAGAAGAATTATTTGTTGTTGTTGCTGTATTTCTTCTTTTAGTTCCAACCCTTTGTCTTTTTCCATTTTGATTTTTTTGTTGGTCTTTAGGGGTAGATGAGGAACGAGTAGAAGAATTAAAAAATTGAATATGTTGATGATGATTATTTTGATTTTCAGGAAATTTACGGAAAAGTTGAGAAATTGGTTCAAATCCAGGCTAAAAAATTTAAATAAAAAAGAAAATTAATTATTTTAATTTTATGTACTTGTGAGGCTAATTCCATAATTTTTGTATCATTCATGTCCGACTTATTACGATCTGCTCCCAATTCCAAAAGGACAGAAACTGTCTTTAAAAAATTAAAAAATGAATTTATTTTCAGAGATTCTTTAAAAAATACCTCATATTGTGCTTGTTCAACAGCCACAAATAATGGGGATTTTCCCTAAAAAATAAATTTTATTAAAATTTAATATTTTTTATTTTCACCTCTTTATCAGTCGATTCTTTATTCGCCCCATGTTTAATAAGTAGCCGCACCATTTGTTCATTTCCAACAGAAGCAGCACGATGTAATGCAGTACTCAGTGTTTTACCAGAATAATTAACAAATTCAATTCTTTGTGAAGCTTCAACACGAGAAATTAAAAGTTCAGCAATCCGTAATGAGAAAGGATTACTGAAAAGAGAAGAAAGAGAATCTTAGAAAATATTTAGAAAATTTGAATTTTTTGATTAAAGAGGAATTTGTTTTAATTTTCATGCCAAAAATTGTTTTTTAATTTTAAAATTCTGATTTATTAAATATTCTCCAATATTAACGGTAATATTGAACCAGACAGACCTCATTTCTTCCTCCCCAAGTTTTTTCCTATATATCCAAGGAATGCCCAGACTTCTTCCTTTCTTCCATCCCAAGCCTATAAACAATCAAAAAAATAATTTTTATTCCCCATTGGATGAAGTTAGGAAATTTAAAGTAAGAAGTCTGACCATTCTGCAAATATAGGAAGAAACTTGGGAAGGAAAAAATGGGGTCTGTCAGGTTCAATATTACCATATTAACTAAACAAAAATAATTTCAAAATTACCAAAGAGCCGCACAACGAATTAAAGGTGTTTCTGTTTCACGTGCCAAAGTATCTAATTTTAAATCAGCAACCCCATTTATTAAAAATTCAGCAATTTCCAAGTCCTCTTGAGTCGACAAATTCGCACAAATGTGGTATAAAGGAGATTTATTATCCAAGTCTGGCAGATTGGCATCAGCATCACAGTCGACTATTAATTTCTTAACTGCTCGAAATTTTCGATTTCGAACAGCCAAAGAAAGCGCAGTTGTCCCATCTAAAATAAAATTAAATATAATTTTATTTTTCAATTTCTACCATGATCTTGTGCATCAATAGAAACCCCGCTTTTAAAAAGTATGTCAATATTAGCGAGTAAATCAGTTTCGTTATCGTTTGCAGTCATTAAAAACATATTTTGAAATAATAAATGAAGAAATGTCCGTCCACGTTCATTTGTCGAATCGACCTTAAAATTAACTAAAGTAAAATCAGAATTTGGCAATCCTTTGGAATTGCGGTCCCTGCGAAAAATAAATTTAAAAATAAAAATATAAATTTAAAGATAAAAATCAGAGTTAAAATCTGAGTTCAGATTTGTGATCAGCACGGAAAATTACCCGAGAAAATGAGTTTGAATAATTTTCAAATTTATTTTTCGCAGGGATCGAAATTCCGAAGGATTTTCCAGAATTTAAATTAAAAAACAAACCATCCATTTTTTAAGTCTTGATATTATTTCAGAATTACAATCAAGTAATGCCCGTCTTTTAAACATTAGAAAATCTTGAAGTTCTTTAATTAGTTTCCGTTGTTCTTCATTTTCATTATTATTGCCAACCAAAGAAGGGTCTACAACAATATTTGTAGAAGAACAATGAAGAGGAAGTAATTGACCTAGAGGGGAATGTTCTGTGCTGCTTCCCCCAATGCCTGAGGAAGAACAACGAGAATATGAAGTAGAATTGTTATTATTATTAACTATAGTAGTTGCTATAGTTGTTGTAGTTGGGTGGGTAGATGGCTAAAAGGAGAATTTTTAATTTTATAAATTTTCTTGTTGAAAATAATTAAAATATACAGGCCCGTAGCCAGGATTTTTTTCCGGAGCGGAGGGGGGGGCAAGGGGCAAAATATTTTTGCGCCGAATTTTTTGTGCCGAAGGCGCCCTTTACCCCCTGGCTACGGACCGCCTGAAAATATAGGTACATTTACTAATTCTCCTCCATTCCCTAAAGAAGGCATATTTTGTTGTTGTTGATTATTGTAGATGTTGTTTGTGTTATTATTTGGAAGAGGCAAAGTAGCAATTCCATTAACATTCCCTGTTGCCCCAATCAACAATTGTGGTTGTTGTTGTCTATAATGAATGGAAGAATTTAAATTTTGATTTGAAGAAGTTGTCAATAAATTTTTATTTTCTCCAATTAAATCAGTTGTTGTTGTTGCTGTTGTCCAACAATTTCCGTTATTACGAGGCAATGTTGAGGAATGTTGTTGTAATGAATGTTGTGGGAGATATGGATGTTGACGGTAATGTTTGGTTGGTTGTTGATGTAAATGTTGATTGTTATTATTAGACATTTGCATCATTGAATTGACAGGATTTTGATATTGTTGAGGATGGTTGTGTTGACTAAAATTAATTTTTAAAAAAGAAAATTGTCAACAAAAAATTAATTTTTCTATTTTACCTATAAATATTGCTTTGATTAGAAAGACTGTTCATGCTAACTGCATGGTTTATCATTAAAGGCATATTTGAAGAAGCACAACTACTAGACGGAGCTACCTACAAAAATAATTTTAATTATGAAAAATATTTATTAATTACTGGGTAATTTGGCCAAATAGAAGATGCTCTCAAAGTCAGTTGTGGTTGTTGTGGATGTAATGGGTAATGACTAGCGAGAGTTGATGATGAACCAAATTTTGCTATAGAAAATATTATTTAATCAATATATTAATTATTTAAATTCACTCACAACTTGGCTGTTCAACAATTGGAGGTCTCCAAGTTTTTGCAGTTTTCATTTTATTATTTTTAGGTCTTCGAATAATAATTACAGATCCGATAACGAGTGAAAACATCAAAGTTAGAAGAACACACCAAAAAAGTCCATAAGATTTTGAAGAACTATGAGGTGAAAGACGAGCTTCACTTTGTAAAATTGGCACTCCAATATCTTGTAATGCCTAGATAAAATATTAAATTATTTTTTTAATAAGAAAAAATAATTTTTTAATTTAAATTTGGCGTAAATATTTTATTTATTTTTAAATATTTTCTCTAATATACTCTCCCATATGTTCTCTAACTTTCCCTCCAGCCGTTTTTTAAAAATCACACTACTGATTTTTTTTAAATGTTTATTTCCATGTTAACTTCTTTTTATTTAATACCGCCTCCAAAACTACATTGGGGGCCATTTTTCCGTCAAAATTTAAAATTTTTAACTCAAGGCATAAAATTAATCCCTTTTTCTATTAAAAATTAGTATATTGGGCATTATTGTTTTTGGGCATTATTGTATTAATCCGAAAAACATTTCAAATAGTTGACAAAAATTAATTAATTTTTCTTAAGGAGATTTGGGGCCTTTTTTTATTCGAGCTATATTTATTCAAAAAACTTTTTTCTTAAATTTAACTTTAAATTTTCATAATTGTTTAAACAAACAATATCTTAAAAAATTCTTCCTTCATTTTTTAAAATCCTAATACACAATTAAGGATAATGTAAATTTATATAAAAATTACCAAAAATACCCTCAAAAAGTACAAATTTACATCATTCTCAGAAAATTTTAAAAAATTCTAAAAATTAAAATTTGCCTTTTTCGCATTAGCTGCCCCAACATAAGCAGCCACACTATCCATATGTGAAAAACAAGGTTCATGTACACCCAAAAGTTTATTGCTTGAATGGTAAATATGGTGGTGATGTCGGTGTGGATGTTCTGGTATTTGATGCTGATGTATAATTCTAGGCATTGAAGTACTTGAAGAAGAAGAATCCAATAAATTACACATTGTGACATCAACACGCAAAAATAAAGCAACTCCTTCTTTTTTTGAAATATCTGGAAAATTTTTAAATTATTCATTGAATTATTTGTATTTTCTGCCTTCTACTCTTAGGTGAAATATTTCAGAGCCGAAAAAGGTTGGGGAGATTTGAAGAGATTTTAACCGAAAATAATTTTTTAGGGTAATCAAGAATTGACAAAAACCCCGCAAAAATAAAATAATTATTTATTTATTTACCATTTAAATTCCTTTTTCTTCTTCTATCTTGAACAATTTCATTTTTATTTTTCCCCTCTTCTTCACCAACAACAATATCAGAATCGTAATAATGTACACTAAACATTGTTGTAACATTCATTCCTGGGGGTAAATCAATTCGTTTTCCAATTCCCGAATCTTGACTCCAACGAAAAAGATTTGGCTTAAAAAATAAATTTTTAAAAATTATTTTTCTTTAAAAATTCTTCTACCTTTCCTTCCTCATCAACAGAAAGTGAAAGAGATACTCGCAAATGCGAACTTAATGAAAGCAAAAATTGTCTCAATAAATTCGGGAAAAGTTCTTCTGGTTGTACAGCCAAAACCAAAACAAGTTCTCCAAGCAAAACATGAGATTCCGGTTCTACATCGTGATCACAATCACCTCCCTTTAATTAAAAATAATTTTTTTGCCAAAAATAATTTATAAAAAATTTAAATTCTCACATCCCAACCACAAGCCGCCATATTACATTGCTGATCACATTGTCCATTTGCATATCTCAAAGCACACTCAGCTAGTCGAGGGCATTTTGCCAATGGACGTGGCAAACAGTCGAAACCATCAAAGAGACAACGTTCATTATTACAGACCTTTAAATTAAATTAATTAAATATTAATTAATTAATTATTAATTACTTCATCACATTTTCCATTTGAAAATGAATGTGAACAATAACTTGGTTGTGGACATTTTTCAAAAGGATTTATTTGACGGGTTGAACATTCGCCACCTTAAAATAAATTATTGTTTAAAAATAAAAATGAAATCAGAATAAAAAAATAAGTTGGAACCGGAAATAAAAAATCAGAATTAAAATTTAATTAAATCAGAAAATCAGAATTTTTAAAGAATTATTTACATACCATCAAATTGACAAGCATATAAATTACATTCTGGATCACATTTCCCATTAGTTGCTTTCTGTTCACAACCTTGTCTTCGACAATTGTCCATATCAACCATATCCGTTCGATTGAATTTGTCGACGGGGACAAAAATCTTTTTTTTAAAAATTAAAAATAAATATTTTTATTTATTTAAAAGGGCATTAAAAATAAAAATAAATGCACTAATAAAAAGGACGTAAGTACTTTTTACTGGCATTTAATTTTTTTATTTAATTTTTCGCTTCAAAGAAATGAAAATTAAAAAAAATATTTATTTCCTCCTCCTTCACCTCACAATGCCGTCCGGCAAATCCACGAGCGCACTCACAAAGATAGTTGTTAACACGATCAACACAAACGCCACCATTAAGGCAAACACTGAAAAATAGTTGAAATAATTTAAAAAATAAATTTTTAATTAATTTAAATCTCGTTAGTAGCTTTTGGAAAATGACAATCTTTAAGAAGACAATTTTTAGGAAATATTTTTATGGCAATTAAATAAAATAATTTCTGAAAAGCTTAGGAAATATTAAAAATAATTTAAAAAAAATTCCAAAACAAAAATAAAATTCCCATAAATAACACAATTTTCCCATAAAAATTCAATTTTCTCAAAAACAAATATATTCCCACTAAATTTTGAAATATTATATTTTATTATACTTTAGACATTAAAAAAAAGTTTAAAATTCTTTGAAAAATAAAAACATGTCTAATTTAAATAAAAACATGTGAATTTAATATTTAAAATTAAATATATTTACACTTACATATTCTCGCAATCGTCAATATTTATTTCACAAACATGTCCACTCCAGCCAGGCGCGCAATCACAACGAAAGTCGATGCCGCCCAAATTTACACATTTGCCCTTATGTTTGCACGTGACTAAAATGAGGGAAAAAATATTTTTTAATTAAAAATAAAAAATAATAATTAGTAATTACCATTTAAACAGGCATTGATTTCACTTTCACATTGAGAACCTTGAAAGCCTGGGGGACACTGACAAGTCCATAAATCTCCTAAGAATTAAAGAAAATTTACTTACTATTCCAGTTAATTTGTTTAAATCCCCTCCCTAAAATACCTACCCTCTCCAACATTTCTTAAATTCTTCACGCATTTTCCTCCATTTCTACAGCCTTTATTAATACATTTTTGCCTTTCATCAATATTTTCATAATTATATTTTGTTGATTTTGGAAGAATTTCACAAAGAGGGCCAGTAAATCCACGAGGACAAATACATTCAAAAAATGTTGAGGAAGATAAAAATTGTGTTGATAAGTGTTCACCTTAATAATAAATTAAATTGAAAATAATATTAAAAAGGGGCGAATATGTATGTCAACAATTATTCGTATATCATAAATTATGAAGACTAATCAGAAAACTGAAGGTATCACTTACATTAGGCAACTATCCCCTAACTGATGGTCGACTAAATTTATATGAAATTGAGGAAATGTAAAACAATGACGTCTTTTGTGAAGCTCAGAAAACAAAGTTAAAGAGCACATAGTAGGTTACTTTTAGGCATTTGTCAATTAGGAATTTGATTCTCGAACTCTAATGAGAAGCTTTTTCAAATTAAAATAATCTATCTATGAATAATTCATTAAAATTCATAGTAAATGCAGAATTTTGTTTGGATAAAACCCAACCAAGTATTATTTATTTTTAAAAATCAGTACCTCCATCAATTTTTTGTATTTTATTATTCCCTCTATTTCCATCAACACCAACACATTGCCCACCGTTCTGACAAGGATTAGAAGCTAAAGGGCAAACTTCAATTTCATTATCAATTTGTTTATCACAAAGAGGCCCAGTCCATCCATTTAAACATTCACAAGTAAAGTGTTCAATATCCTCAGTCTAAATATTTAGAAAGAAATTTTTAAAGAAAAAATATTTTTAAACATTTTTATGACAAATTCCTCGAACACAAGGATTATAGCCATCTTCACAAGGAGGTAATTGACGTTCACAAAATTGACCGGCTAAATGTGGTGGACATTGACAAGTATATGAACTATATTTTTTGTTAAATTATTAATTTATTTAATAAAATTAATTTACGTATAATCAATGGTTGGGGCACACACTGAGTCTGTTGCACAATGATTTTGATAGCAGGGATCTGGCTTTTCACTAGAAAAAAAAATAAAATATTAATTTTTTGATTTAATTCTGATTTTAATTTATTTGTATTCCAGGCTTATAATTTAAGGGGTTATTCTGATATTAAGAAAATATAAATTATTAAAATTCTGAAAATATTCTGATGAATACTAAACGAATTCTGATTTTCTATATAATTTATTAATTCTGATTTAATTCAAACAAACATTTCGCATAAAGTTCCAGAAAAGGGGGGAAGGCATTCACATTCAGTATCATCAGCATTTTTACAAATCCCTCCATTCTGGCAATCCAAATAACATTTATTTAATTCTTTATAAGCTCTAATTTCACAATTATTTCCAGAATAACCTTAATTTTAATTAATTATTATTTTTTAATTTCCTTTGAATTAACCAGGCAAACAAACACATTCATATTTTCCCAATTTATTTAGACAAGTTCCCCCATTTTGACACGGATTAGAATCACAATGTTTTTCTAATAAAGAACATAATTCTCCTGTATATCCAAACTAAATTTAAAATTATTTCTAAAAAATCTTTTAAAAGAACACCAACTTCACATTCACAAATATACCCTCCAACAGTATTTACACACTTTCCTTTAGAACATTTATTAGTAAATGGATGTGCACATTCATCTATATCTATATCACAATTCTGTCCCTAAATTTATTTTTTATTTGTATAATAAAATTATCTTTATTTATTACCATCCATCCTTCATCACAATGACATGAATGATTACCAAATTCAAAATCAGGATAACATTTTCCATTTAAACAAGGTCCATTATTGTCGTTAGAAGTATTAAAACAGGGATTTGGAAATTCACACAAATTACCAACTCTTAATTATTTTTTAATTTATTAAAAGAACCATTTACTACTACTATCACCTGTCTGGTGCACAAAGGCAAGTATACCGTGAAATCCCATCCACACAAGTTGAACCGGCATAACAAAGATTATCAATACAATCATCTATCTAAAAAATATATTTTTTAAATTATTTCTTAATTTATTCTTTCTTTACATTATTTTCACAATATCTTCCTTCAAATCCAGCAACACACAAACACAAATAAGTGCCATGTCGATTCATACAAGTAGCACCATTCTGACAAAGCCCTGGATAAACTTCACATTCATTGACATCCCGTTCACAAAACTCCCCTGAAAATATTTTTTAATTAGTTTTGGGGCTATCTCTCTTTTAAATTAATTTTCCCAGTGAATTTAACTTTATTAAAATATACCAGAAAATCCAGACATGCATTTACATTCAGATGGATGCCATCTTTGTTGAACCGATTTTGTTATATTATCATTTCCAATATTCTCGAATACTTCAAGCCATGGATGAACACATTGCCCTCCATTAACACAAATCTTTAAAATAAAAAAATTAATAAAATTTTTCAAAATTAAAAACAAAACCGTTCTTCCAGTTATACAATTATCAATAATTCTTTCACAACGTTCACCTTCAAAACCATCAGGGCAATTACATTCCCAATGCCAATTAAATTTGTCTGCCTTTAATTTAAAAATTATTGCTTTTTAATCTACAAAAATTACATCCAAAGCCCAACTAGAAGTTGTTGCAGTCATTGATAAATGGCAAGTACCATTATTAAGACAGGGAGAAGGTTGACACTGATCTATAATGTTAGGTATTTCACAAAATTGTCCAACAAATTTAGGAGGACATTCACAATAAAAAGAGCCAATCTAAGGTGAAAATAAAATTATTTTTAAATTTTAAATTTTTTTGTTAACTAAATTAACACATTTCCCTCCATTTTGACAAATATTAGTGTCAGATTGACATTCATCTACATCTAAATCACAATGAGTACCACCCCAACCATGTCTACATTCACAAAAATGTGTAATTAAATTTCCATCTTCGTTAACATTTTTATTTAAATTATTTATGCATTGTCCATTTAAACAGAAATAATCTTCAAATTGGCAATGATTAATTTCAGAACAATGAGGACCTATAAATTAATATTTTATAAAAAATTAGTTATTACAAAATTTGAAAATTTTATTTTAACTTATAGATACACGGATTAAATATCTTAATTTTAGGTATATTTTTGTTGGCAATTGTGTATGGGGAGCTAATAATTAAAATTAAGAACTGAATAGGTATTTAATATAAACCTAAATTTAAATAAAAATTTGTATTTTAATTGTAAAATTTTGAAAAAATTTTTGAAAAAATTTTTTAATTTTTGAAAAAAATTTTTTAAAAATTTTGAAAAAATTTTTTTTTTGAAAAATTTTTTAAAAAATTTTGTTAAATTTTTTTAATTATCCAAAAAAAAGATTATTTAAAACTTGTAATTCCTAAATAAACATTGTTTATTTAATCCATCAATCGCTTCTTAGTTTTCTTGTTTTTTAAATTATTAACTCCTCAAGGATTTATTTTTTAACTACTCCAAATAAATAAATCTTCAAATCATTCCTTCCCCTAAATCCCTTAAAGTTCTTATTATTTTTTGTTTGCTTTTCCCATGACCCATTGTTTGTATGTAGTACATATATTTATTTATATTTAATAGGTAAATATTGTAAAAGAATACAAAATTTTGCCAAAAAAATTATTTATTTTCCAAAATTTAAATTAAAAAACATCCATTTGAAAGATTATTTTTAGGAATATTTATATCCATTTTTGTCCATTATTTTCAATATTTTTTATTTAGAAAAATTATTGCCTTTTTTTTATTTATTCTTTATTTTAAATATTTTCTTTATCCAAAAAATAATAAATTAAACGGAAAAACTTTTTTTGGAAAAAATATTTATTTTTTAGAATCCATATGGATATATTTATTTTATTCATTATTTATTTCCTTTTTTGTGTAAAAAGCTTAAATAAATTTTATAAGAAAAATTAAATATATTTTAATTTTTAACAAAAAAATAATTTTTTCTCCTACCAGTCCATCCATAATGGCATTCACAAGTATATTCATTAACATTTTGTCCCAAAATACAATTTCCATGTTCCCCACAAATATTTAAATTAATATTGTTACAAACAGTTTCTAATTGTTTATCACAATAAATTCCATCAAAACCAGGTGGACAATGACATTTAAATGATTGCTCTGTTTTTTCACAAGCAGCGCCATTCTCGCAAGGATTGTAAAGTTGGACACATCGACGAAGTTCGCATTGTTTACCAAACCAATTTGGAGATGGGGAACAACTTGAGAATAAATAAATAAATATTTTTTGAACTTGATAATTTAAATTTTTACGGATTTTAAATTAATTTTGATTTTAAATTAAATTTATTTAAAGAAAAATATATTTAGGTTATTATTAAATGTTTATTTAAATTCAAAATTTATTTAGTTTCTCACACAAATCATTGTCATGAATAATGAAAAGTGAGTTCTTGGGAAAATATTTAAAGAAGTCAATTAATAAGAAAAAATGATGTTGGACACATGAATTTTCCAAAAAATTATTTTTAATAATTTTGGAGGACATTTTTCTGTTGTTTTAGTTAGAGATATTTAAGAGGGTTTGGGGACAAGGAATAAATAAATAAGGATTATTTTGATTTTTTGCATATAATTAGGTGTGTTTGGAATAAAAAAATATATTAGAAGAATAAACAAAAGCTATTGTTTTATAAAAGAAAGAGAGAGAATTGTTGCATAAATAATGAAAAAGAAATTAATAAAAATTAATTGCAAAAATTAATTTAACAAAAACGTTCAGAGAAACCCAGATTTGACTAGAAAAATTTGTGGTCCGAGAATACCCTTATATTTCCACCTAAGAACCAATGATAACTTTACAAATTAATTAAAACAACTTACTGTTTCTCAACTTTTCCTCTTTAACAAATTTTTTTCCTAACCACTCTTTAAATAAATTCTTTAAATATTTTTTTAAATTTAATTAACACTTTCTCTTAAATTATTTTTCTATACTTTCCTTCTTTCCTTTCAAAATTATCTAATTAATTTGATTGGTAAAAAATGTAAGGTGTGAAGTGCCAATGTGATGATGAAGAGTGAGTTAAAAGGACCTTGAGGGCCTTGGGAAAAAAAGAAGAAAATTAACAGAAAAAAGAAAATTAAGTAAAAACAGTTATTTTATATCCCCCGCTGTTGTTATGCAAAAAAGTATTCTCTTCTCCTCTCTTTTTATGTCCTTCAAAAATTAATAAGAAGAAAGTTCTCAATTAACTCATTGGTTGAGTAAAAAAAATAACGCTTGGAAGGGTTGCCACCAACAAAAAGTATTGACACGAAGATAATAAACAAATAAATATTGCCAAAATTTGTGAAGAGGAAAATAAGTTTTGATTAAATTTTTGTGATTTTTAATAAAGGGAGGGTTATTTTGTGGTTTTTAGATAAATCCTAGTTAGTATTAAATCCCAAAAGCTATAATAAAATTAGGTTAGATATGAGGGCAAATATTTATTTATCATTTAATTATTCAATTTTTAAAAAAATATCCAAAAATTCTACAAAAATATTTTTCATTTGCTTTTCCATAAAAATATTTTTACAAGTTAACCTCAATCTTCAATTTCAACTCCTATTTTAATTTTTTACCTAAAAAGTCCCTCTCTCCAATATAATTCCATAAACAACAGGGATCATCTCCTTCGTTTATTAAAAACTCCTTCGCTTCCATAGTTTTCTTCCATCTTTTTACAAAAAGCTACTTTCCCATGGCCCCGTGCCCCCGTCGGCGACAATAACAGTGAGATGGAAGAAGCAATGAATTTGTGGAGAGAATGGAGAGGTGAATGGCCGCAAAAATACCCCCCCCCTTCCACAACAGAGTTGTTTTAATGCTTAGAATCATCGCCGCTATTCAACCAATGAAGGGGATAAATAGATGAAAATAAAGAAGAATTTAAAATGTTTTTTAAAGAAAAAGTAGTGAAGAAAAGGAGAGAAAAATGCCGCGGAAGCAATGAATCGAAAGAAATTATCGTTTAAAGTTTTTATTGAAAAAAGTTTTGACTTTAAAAAGGATTAGAAAATATTTTTAAAAACTTGAAAGAAATTTTAAAAACTATCAAAATTTAAGTTAAAATAGTTATGTAAGTCCCAAAAATCTCAAGCAAAAGTTAAAGACTTTTTCCTAGCTCAAAAAATCTTCTTCCTTAGATCAAAAAGTTTATTCTGATTACTGTACTTAAATAATTAAAGGGCCTGCAAATACCGTATTTATTCTAATAGTACTACAGTGGTTCTATTTTTCAACCCTTCGATTTTTGTGGTTATATTAGAGACTGTGGTTCAAATAGAGACTGTGGCTTTATTTTTCAATCTTTTTTTTGAAAAATAGGAAAAATATTGAGAATTTCTTGTCATATTCTCCAAAAATAATTATAATTTTTAATCAATTTGGTGGTTTCTCGACTTCAAAATTCTCTAGATTTTCGAGTGCGGCGCCAGATTTAACAAAAATGTCGATTTTCTATAATAAGATCTAACCCTCAACTCGGTTTCCTAGTAAGAGAACCTAGGAAATTTACCAAGAACTCCTACCTCGTTGTTATATTAAAGTTTTGGAATGGAGGCATTATAAGGGATATAGAAGGATTTGAAAGGATATCGATGGATTTAGAACAATTAGAGTTGATACACTGGTATAGCAAGAGAATTGGATTCCTATTAATTATGGAAAAATTCACAACCTCTTAATTCATCTTAATCATTCTCAATCCCCCAAATCCTCGTATTGACCAAATTCTCCTCATCGTCTTAGTCCTCCCAAATCTTTCTATATTTCCTCATAATCCACATTATCTCATTTTCCTCATAATCCCCCGACACTTTAGCTCTCATAAATTCTCCTACTGAATATGCCATGGGCTTTCCTGGATTTGCTAAGGTTAACGAGAATTATAGTACTTATTTAAGAGTATGAGAGATATGTGGTTATATTAGAGACTGTGGTTGTATTTTTCAACTCCTCCATTTGATGTGGTTATATTAGAGACCGTGGTTCAAATAGAGACGTAGTACTATTAGAATAAATACGGTAATTATTTTTGGCAATAAAGCAACTTCATTACTATTTTCAAAATTAGCATCAAATTAATAAACATAAAAATCTAATGAGTAAAAACTGACCCAATTCCCACGATGTTAAAAAAGTAAAGGGCAACTCTAATATATTCACCACTACTCATTTACACACAATTACTACTAATAAAAAAGAGGTAATTGATAAAAAAAAAGGAAAGAAAGGTGGCGCCTCATGCAAAAACACACAAAAAAACAAAAAATATATATTTCTCAGGACCACAAAAATTCCTAAAAAATATTTTAACTAATGTCCATGGTTGTAAACCTATAGCTAATTTAAAAATAATTATTTTATTTTTTAAATTTTATCTGATTCTATAATTGTAAAAATATTTAAAGAAAAAAGTAAAGAGGTGTTAATCTCCCCCTCTTAATTAATATACATATCTTGTGATAATTCTTGATTCTATATATGTATTGTAAAACCGTAAACGCTCAAATAATTAACTTGGGTAAAATTATGAAATCACTCTCTGGATAATAAAGGACAATTATTCGAGCATTTACAGTATGTATTTATTC